CCTGCTCCGACTTAACTTTTTTTTCGTCCTTTAAAATGTTGTCCATGTTCCCCCATACAGTTCATTGTTACTGGCCAGTCTCTTAAGCACTATGTTTTTCTTCATTTTATATTCTTAAACTTTGAATGCTAATGTTGTGTCTCATATATCTGTAACTTTAGATTTTTATTCATTTCTTTTTAATTTTAATACTGAATGGCGTACAAATTTTAATTATAATAATTGACATATTATGTTACGAAAGTGGAATTTTAACCTTGTGATGTGGGATAAAATAAGAACAAACAGGGAACCATGTCGATTCCCTTTTTCGAACTGCATAGTCATGGTTCTAATTAGAGCTCCATAGTTTGAGGAATTAGACTTGTTGGCTCTGAACGTTAACCGCTACCGCGGATTTCGATTTTGTGGTTTTGTAACAGACTGCCACAAAGGCACAAACTTTAATTCTCAAATGTGTTTTGGTGATTCACTCGTCTTAGATATAGGTGGAGAAAATAAATCATCAAAATTCACATCTCTTTCAGGATAGGACACCTGGAGAAGCCTTTGTTGCCAAATCTGCTAAAGAAGCTGAAATGGAAAAGTTGATGAAATCAATGGAGGTAATTATTTATTGTGCAACAACCAAATTTGCAGTTAATGAATATGTCATACTCCAGTATTATGTGTTACTTGTTTAAACGTCTTTATTAGGGTATGCCTGGAGCACCTGGTATGAAAATGTACTCGAGGGAAGATTTGATGAACCAAAAATTCGGTGATGAAGATGCAGATGACGAGGATGATGACAACGATGATGACGTCCCCTCCAAATTAGTGAGTGCTAACTATGGCTGCTCCAAAATATAATCAAACCTTCAAAATTTTCATCGAGTTCAATGCTAAAACTCCTGTGCAGGGAAAAGTTTTAAGAGAAAAAGACAGTAAAAAGTATGACTGGAAGGAGCGGGTGCGAAGAGGGGCCGTTGATGCCGGTGAGAAATTGAAAGGTCATGCAATTCGGGTTTCAAACAGGATAAGACAGTGGTGGAGAAGAAGCCAGAAAACCAAGAGTTCCAAGTCTGGTCAGACAGAGCTATAAGACACCAATTGACAACATCACGACCGAGACTTAACATCTTTTTCTCGTTTATTCCAGTTTTTTACCCTACGCAATTTTGGTTGATTGTAGCCTTACAAATTGATATATCTGAGTACAATCTTGAGAGCAACATTTATCCATCAAATTGTGTAACTTCTGTTATTTGGTTGAGCTGTAGGCTGGTAGCCTTACAAATTATATCTGAGTACAATCTCTAGAGCAACATCCATCCATCAAATATATTTAATCTTTTGGTACAAACTCTTTTGGTATTTTAGCTTTGTATTTTAGCTTTAGCACACTCTTCTGACACTGGACACCACATGAATTTGACATTCTTGACCAATGGCAAAATCATGTACAAACTTAAAATCTCACTAACAACTAATCAGACCAGCTTTTTTTCAAAATTAACTATAATTGACCAAAAACGAAAAAATAAACAAACAAACCAGTAAAATACTAATATATTAGTAAACAAGCACGCCCTAACAACCATCTTGATGCTTCTCGATTATCTCAGGCGATTTCACGATTTCATCAGGTTCAAGTATAGTAAAGTCAAAATACCGCACGGAGAATAAGTCAATCAGATTAGGAATCTATGGTACTTGACAAAAGAGAACAAAATAAAATTTCATGTATCACAAACATGCAAAGAATTCAGAATTAATCAACCAAAATTTGAGAAACATTAATCCAAATAAATATAATTGAGTGCTAAGATACATCATCATCAAGTGAAAAAACATTGGAGCAACTTTGTTGCTTGCCGATTATACCAAAATGTCACATACAGTGTAGATTGATCCTGCTGAAGATACTTAACATAACAAACACCATAACCGAGGCATAAACAAAAATCAGCGCATTCTGTAATGCTGAGTTCTCGAGGCCCTGCAGTGTTTCCCATTTAGAGAATACTTCAAAGTAATATCCACATCACGATGGTTCTTCTTATTATATGATACAGTAATGGTCCCTGTCAATGCTTCCCCTTCGCAGATGGTAAGCACGTCTTCAAGGTAAAGAACCGTTTGCTTCCAGTGAGTTGCACGCGATTTTGGGCCTGCATAAAGCAAGTTATAATTTAACAGTCATCAATGAATGCTAACTTAACTATGAAACTGAGAGCAGGTGCAGCAATGTCTATGAACAACAGCATATAAATAAATATCCAAGTATAGAAACGAAAAGCGCCAAAATTCAATACTACTCCGATATCATATTGCTAGGAAAAAACACCAAAATTCATTTCCATTTTCTTTCTTTAACCAATAACTTCACATTATGTCTTAAAATATACAATTAAATCACAAATAAATGCTACAAGTTTTCTAATCAATTAGTTTGTTCATCTACTTCACATAATTTTAACTACTTATATCATATTGGAGTTTATTACTTTTATATCAAATTAACTTCCGACTATAGTTCTATTTTCACTTCAATAAAACTTTCCCAATTAATCTCTAACGAAGCCAAAAGTTTCAAAGTGAATCGTCCCTCCTTAGAAATCAAAAAGGGAACAAATTATGACATATTTGAAATTTCGACCATCAATAAACTAGATCACTTCAGGAATTATGTGGCCAAAATGTCATTCTACTGTCTAAAATCATACGGTAAATTGCTTTTCAAAATAACTTAGCTAAAGATAGGGGGATGCTACGATCCAAGAACCATGGTATGAATTTCACCAACAATAAAGAGGTAAAAATACATTCCAAAGAACACATCATAACTCATACCTGTTGAGAAACCCAGCAATTTATGGCACTTCGTAAAAGATACATCAAAATAAGCAACAAGGGCATGAATGTAGTCGTCACAATTAGCCACAAGCTTAAAAGGTGCAGTGAAGGAAGCATCAACTGCTTCCATCTTGGAGATGTCCATTGTCTGTAAATTTTCAAAAGACATAATATTGAAAGATAGTTGGTACAAATGCTCCTCCATATACAGCTTTACATAACGTTTTATCCCATGGAATCGACAACAGGACTGGATAAAATAAAAAAAGTTCTGACCTTGAGTAATTGGCAATTGGTGACAATCTGCTTTTCGTCTACAATGTCAACAAGAGGTTCCATTATGGCTTTCTTCCCAATACAGCTCATGTCAAACCCGTATACATTATTCCAAACTGATAAGTATTAAAAATGTCAGAGAATGTAGAAATGATCAAGCAGCATATGAGCATAAACATGTGTTTTTATTATATTATTACAATCAACAATCCATGAGACAGGCGTTAAGCTCACATTCAATCTTGTCTTCCTTGTAATCAGCGTCTTCAATGGCTGTCAAATAAAGAGAGGCTTTATCCGGCAATATGAGACCATCTTGGACCTGAAAATAAAAGTGAAAAACAAAACACATGATATGTTAAGTTAAACACAACTACGCTTTTTTCTTTACAAAGGACAGGACGTTAAAACTCACTAGCCACTTGTTACGGGCGTAGAGGACAGTGTCTAACATGTTCTCATAGATTAGGAAATATCCCATCCATTCAGAAATAATGACATCAACTTGAGCAACTGGAAGTTCAATCTCTTCAATCTTTCCTTTCAGTACTGTTATAACTGAGATATCAATTATTTTGGAGAGGGAGGGGGTGTTAGTTGTAATATCAATCGGAAGGTAAACTTACGATACCATATTTGGCTCGTAATTTTTGAAAATTTCAGGCCAGAAAAGAACTACCATTGGAGAATCCATTTTGACTGATAATTTCCTGAGCTGTATCAGCCATGCTGGAGCATTCCACCTGCAAGTGTAATGAAATGTATGATGACAAGCATTGAAGTCAAAAATACCAGATATCAAATATCTGATCTATGGTCCTATTATGTGTCATTTGATAGGTTCACCAACTGATTTTGTACATGCAGACCACTACTGATGAGAAAAAATTGAGTCCTGACAGAAACTGCTTGTTCAGCTTTCAACTTTTATGCCTTATTCCTAATCAGTAATCAGCGAAGTAGGATGC